AATTAATTGCTTTTTACACCACAGACTGAACAAAATTAAGCATTGCTTTGTAATAGGTCAACAAAGTATTGATAGTTGTGTAAATATTGTCATATAATATACTATACTATCAACGTTATCTGACATTATCAAGATGAATTTGTTCTGACACAGTTTAACTCTGAGTTCTTGTCATATTTTATTACCATTTTCTAAACTATAGCAAATAAACTGTGATAATGTGAGGAATGTTGAAGGTGTCTGAATAAATTTTGCTTTAACTGTATATTTAATTTTTACAGTGAAGACTATGCAGTGCTGTTTTACATTTGATTATTCAGTTTCTGTACCTGGACACCTAAACTTGAAAAAAACGTAAACATTGAGTAAATAGCACAAATAAATAAATAGAACGAGCATACAAATTAAACTATTTCAGACAGGGCCCACTGGTACAACCTGCACTGGGACCCAACAAATCCCAGCTACTGCCCTGGTTGCAATCTCGCTCTCAAACTCACGCGAGACTCCAAGAGAGCCCAGTGCCATAACCAACTCCATGCAACATCGCCGCCACCTGCTGGCGTACTACGAGACTAACATTTTAACACTATATTTAACTACAAATCTATGTTATTTTAAGGCTCATATTATTGGAGTGCAATACTCAATCATTGCGCTACATATCAAGTGTATGCATTTTTAGAGGAGCATTTGTAATTTCACATTTGATCATGTGAAATATGACAGCCAACGTAATGTGTTGCTGCCAGTTTTAGCATGCTTAGCCCCTCCACTTCTACTACAGGGAAAGTTGTGACCAATGAGCACATAAAGATGAACTTCACAACATTACAATTATCTCTCACTGCATTTTTTAGTGTGAACTATGGTTAAATGTGCACCTAAAGGCAAAATTGTATAAACTACATAAATGGTCACTGAACCAGTCAGTGCTACTAATCTCATGTGTATTATTGAAGTTCACCACCATTAGATTAGAGATCTCTACCAAATAAGAACATTAGAATGATTGCTGATGTCTAAATTATGCCTGTTTTGTGACCATGTCTGTTTTGCCTTGGCTATTATATTGCTGGTGATCGACACCTGCCTGTTTGTATTAGCCTACTGCTTATACTTTTAATAAAGCCGCACATGGATCCCAACTCTGCTGACTTTTTGTTACAGTAGCAGCATCAACTGCGATGTTCATAGTTGCAGAAAAGGAAGAAGCTCTTCACCTGCAAACTAAACACAGATCACACAATGCATGCAAGATGTTTGTCCACGGATCACATCACACTTCAGACCGCAGCAGGTTTCAGTTTGATTCTGTTGAGTTGTTTTTTGTCACACCTCAGTACAACAGACAAAGAGAGATTACTTTTTTTAACCATTTGTAACAATTAAATCATAAAACCATTAAAAAAAATAGATTTATTTTGAATTTTACATTGACTAATCTCATTTTGCAATTTTCCACACTTCTTCTTTAACATATTTAATTGTCAGAAAACTACATTTCATATTTTATATTTGATACTTGTTAAATCCCAAAAATTTAAATGAGCCCATGATTTACTCACCCTCAAGCCATTCTAGATGTATATGACTTTCTTCTTTCAGACGAATTTAATCGGAGTTATATTTTTATATAATTTTTTATATTTTTATATAAGCTTTATAATGGCAGTGAATGGTGGTTGAGATTTTTAAGCACAATTAAGTACATCCATCCATCATAAATAGTACTCCACACGGCTCTTTGGCTTAATAAAGGCCTTCTGAATCAATGTGTTTGTGTAAGAAAAACATCCATATTTGAAACTTTATAAACTGTAATTTCTATCCTCCACTAACTGTCATCCGTGTGTTCACCAGGGTTCCCACTCTTTCATGAACACCAGATTCAAGGACTTTCAAGGACTTTTTAAAGCACCATTTATTTTATATCAAGCACCTATCAAATTCACACCCCAGCATATGTAGTGTCATGAAAGACCTTACAGTACTTAACATTTCACTTACACAAATTTAGACCATTTTGAGCATTTGTGTTCAAAGGAATTTAATGAAATCCATTGAAGTCAGTACGGATAATATTCAAATACAATTTCTAAAATATTGATAAAATATGCATCAAACTGGTTTTGCTGTATTTCTTGTACAAGATTTAAATTTGAAAGAATTTCTCAATTTTTAAATTAATAAAAAGTGGTTAAATGTTGTAATAACATGGTAAAACCTCTTAACATTAAAAATTTGCACATTCACTCAAAAGAGACGTTACTCATTAATAAACTCAAGTCAAAATTATTTTGTAAATGACTTTTTATTGTAAATCCCATTTTTTCATCTTTGATTTAGAGGAATGCAGCTGCTCAAAGCGTCAATATTTAAAAAAAAATATTTCATGAACATTTTAAACCGTGTACATGTGCAAATCTGCAAAAAAATATATAAAGAAAAGACATTAAAAAAATAGGACTTTCTATTTGCTTTTAAACTGTAAACACTTTTTACTAAGCTGTTTTTCCAATTTTTCAAGTTCAAAATTTTTCTCCTTAGCTCCATGTTGCAATAAGTTTTGGGAGTTCGTTTTTAGTCCATCTCCTATCCTGAAAAGTCTGTCTTACAGAGACTGACAAAAATGAGCTCCTAAAACTTACTGCCAGATTCTGGAAGATAAATTATTCAAACAGTGGTACAAGAGGATGTGGTGCTGGTTCTTCAAGATTCACTCTCAACTTATCTGTCCATAAAGCCTATAAAAATAGTCTTCATGTATTTCACAACACTTCAGAATGTTATTCTTATTATTAGGTCATCCGTCATGCACAGATCTAATATAGGCTACTGATACACATGGCTCTATGCTTACTTTTCTTTTTAGGAGCTCTTGTCCTCCTAATTTAAAAAATTTAGGAGCACCTTCTGATCAATGATCAAAAATTCTGATAAAAAATGATCCTTCCTAATATGAGGTGACATGCGACTCCTTTTTACCTTTGCAATGGCATTATTTTCATCTATGTCAAATTAAAAAATGTGTTTATAAGCTTTTACAAATGTCTATTTAAAACAATATAATAAGAATTAGAATGAGACCAATATGTTACCAATCATATGAAATTAGTATTAATAAAACATGTATTTGTACTACAAAGGGTGCACAGAAGAACACAAAAGTGGCTTGAAGGTACATTTTCAGACGTTTAATGAGGCTCAGAGGTGGCATGAGTGCAGTTAAATTCATACATTCATGTAGAGATTAATGTTTTAAATATAACATTTTGAATACAGAAATATTAAATGATTTAAATAACTGAAATTATACACTCTAAAAAATGCTGGGTTAAATACAAGCCAGTGCTGGGTAAAATAGGGACAAACCCAGCAATTGGGTTGTTTTGACCCAGCGGTTGGGTTACTACCCAAAAGGTTGTGTTAAAGCTGGGTCAAAACAGCCCAATTGCTGGGTTTGTCCTTATTTTACTCAGCACTGGCTTGTATTTAACCCAGCATTTTTTAGAGTGTACCTAAAAATGAAACTGAAACCGCCAGCAGGTGGCGGCAAGTCACTGATTTTAGCACTGAATCATTCATTCAATTGATTCGTTTGAACGGCTGATTCATTCAGGAATGAAACAAGTCTTTATGAATGGGTAATCATGAATCACTGACTCATTAGATTCGTTCAAAAATGCACTTTCATTCATGAATGAAACACCGCTGTGTTTGCTTTTAGAGATGCGCAGCGGCTGAGCTGTTACTTTATTTGGAACTATTTTCATTGATGAAAACAGGCAGTACCTGTTTACTGAACTGTTGTATTAAATCAATATCACATTTGCAAACTCCCTTAATAACTATTAAAAGCTGTCACACTCCTAATCGCGATCTGTGGGCGCACAGAAAATGAGAGCGTGCAAGTGAGTTCTCAAGACTCAAAAGCACGTGCAAATGATACGTTCTATCATCTGTCATCGCGTTATAAGCGCGGAACCTGCGGGAATGAGTATAATTATTATTACTAGCCGCAATCCCGTGCCGAAATTCAAGTTCTGCTCTGTGTTATCTGCTAATAACCTGACTGTGAATGATGCGAGCGGCGTCACTATGTTGTCAGTGAGAAGCTGCAGCTGTGGCGGGGATGAATTTTGGTGTGCCGACAGAACAACAACAATGCGCTACATGATTCTTTTCCCCTCATTTTTCTAACTTGACGGAAATCCGTTGTAGCAACAGAAAACTTGAATCCCTGTATATACAATATTAGAATGTTTGTGGGAGCGGGACACACACGTTGCGGGAGTGGGCGGTAATGGTCAGAAATTCAGTGGGAGCGGGCTTAAGAAAACTGTCCCTCTCAGGGCTCTAGGCTGCGCATCAACAAACACAAGTTTTTTTCGCGTTACCCCATCTTCACCCCCAATCATTAGTGCTGTTTCGTTGTCTTTGACAGAACATATAGGAGAATTTTTGAAATAGCGCCATAAACAAAATTTATTTCAAATTTAATTCAAGCACTTTCAAGGACTTATGTCTGTTTTCAAGTACTTTCCAGGCCTTGAACACATATGTCTGAAATTCAAGTACTTTCAAGAAGCGTGGGAACCCTGGTTCACAAGAGAGTGGCGTTCCAGCGGATGATGTAGATGTAGGCGTAGATGTAGGCGTATCGTAAGCTCTGGTGTGAATATGCTAATCTCACGAGAACCAAGTTTTGTTTACAGCAAAGGAAAACCAGTCTCCTCTGGGCTTATATCGAAATCCTCCGACATTTTTCTTTACAATTCCTCATTTTGTTCTTATAGTTTGTGACCGGTGTTTTGCTGTGCTCTCTCCTCTGCGCTTTCACATTCGTCATTTCTCACCTGAGCTTACGCTACGCCTATGGCGTGTCATCATATTGGCTTGATGGTGAGTAAATCATGGGGTAATTTTGAATTTTGAGTGAACTATCCCTTTAAGATCTTGAGGTCAGATTAACAAACTCATTTTGTCCATTACAGATCAGAGCCTACCCTTGTTTTACATTTTGCTGATTTCTGCTGCTGGATCTCTTTTGATTGTAGCTGCAGTTGTGATGTACTGCAGGAAATGTAGAAAAACAGGTCACGGATTAATTTATCACAATTACTAACTACAAACATTAATTACAATTAATGCATTTGAAACATATACATACACACACATATATATGTATGTATGTATGTACGTATGTATGTGTGTGTGTGTGTGTGTATATAAATATATATATATAAAGATTCGTTGTTTTAACATATCTGTGTATTATTGTTAATGCAGTCGACACCCAGGAGGAAGGCAGAATGGATGCAGCATTGTGTAAACCAACAACAAGAAAAATGGTAAGATCATTACTGACTGTGTTGCAGTTAGTGTGATTGAAGTTTGCAGCATCCGATGGTCAGTGAACAGATGTGGGTGACCTGTGGGGAACAGATCAAAAGATCTGATATCTGCCAGCTCCACATTCACCCATTCAAGTGATCACTGAGCAGGAAGCCAACATTGCATAGTAGTGATGCCACACCTCACACAGATTTATTGGCTAGGAAAAACCGTCAATCTCGAAATAGGGGCCCAATGGAGACATTAAACCCTAAACCCACCCTGCTCTAAATGTGTAATGTTTGGATTTGGAAGCGAGAATTTGAAACGGTAATTTGAGAGAGCAAAACAGGAAAAAATGTAAGTGCAGTCCAAAAAAAACAAACAAAAAACAAAAACTGATTATTTCTGCCTTCATTCTCATGAATTAGGTTTTATGACTTTTTGATGTATTAAGGTTATAGCAGCCATTGGTTGATTTGTAGACGAGCTGCAACAAGTATCTTTGCTGTTGCTTTTATGTGAAAGACTGTTCTCAGTGCAGGGATTGTCATGACAAAACTTCAGAACTAAAATAATCTGTTTGATGATTTACCTTAAAAAGTAAAGCAGTTCCTGGAGGGCCACTGTCCTGTAGAATTTAGCTCCAATCCTAATTAAGTGATGTTTTATTAACAAATTTCGGGAGGAGCACGCGCAGATTTGCATTGGCACATCCAATCACCACAAAAATGTCAGAGATCGAACTTTTCCCAGACGACAACGCGTTCGACACCACGGGTCCTCTGGCGTCTCCAGTCGCCGATCAGTGCACCAGCGCTCTGCAGGACTCCATAATCAAGCCCATGGAGCCGCCGGCCTTTCCGCGCTGCCATCGCTCATACCTCCAGACACAGAGCCACGCCATCACCTTCGCCTTCCAGGCATCAGCCACCTTCTCCAGCGTCCTCCCCCTCTCTTTTTTCCTCCTTTTTCTTCCGCTCCCGGAGCTGTCCCTAGCGCGAGCATGCCTCCGCTAATGGCGCAGGCCCTGACGCCGACCATTCCCCCTCTCTTTTTTCCTACTTTTTCTTCCGCTCCCAGAGCTGTCCCAAGTGAGAGCATGCCTCCGCTAATGACGCAGGCCCGATGTCCGTCCTTTCATATTTCCACACTGCCACAGCAGTTCCTGCTCCCGCAGGAGCTTTTCCATATTTCCCCACTGCCAGAGCAGTTCCCGCTCCCGCAGGAGCTTTTCCATATTTCCCCACTGCCGCAGCAGTTCCCACTCCCGCAGGAGCTTTTCCATATTTCCCCACTGCCGCAGCAGTTCCCGCTCCCACAGGAGCTTTTCCATATTTCCCCATAGCTGCAGCAGTTCCCGCTCCCGCTGGAGCCATTATCTGTATTTTACATTGCCGCAGCAGCGCTTGCTTCCGCAGAAGCCATTTTCTCTTTCCAGATGCCGTAGCAGTTCCCACTCCCACAGGGGTTTTCTTTTCAGATGCCGCAGCAGCGCTCGCTTCCGCAGAAGCCATTTTTATTTTCTGATGCCGTAGCAGTTCCCACTCCCACAGGAGTTTTTTTTTTCAGATGCCACAGCAGTGCCCGCTTCTGCAGAAGCCTCTAGTTCTCTCTACTAAGCCTCAGCAGTCCGAGCTTATACCCTAGCTCGGACCCCTCTCCCCGGACGGGGGGAGTACCCCAGGCTCGAGAATAATTACTGAGCTGGGAGCCCTCTCCCCAGACAGCTCGCCAAATATGCATAACCTTTACTCTGTTCATTATATGTAAGTGTGAACTCGTGAAATGCACTTGAACCAGATAATGAAGGTCTTTAGACTCACTAGAAACTTCTAGAAGTGTGTTGAGGCTGGTTGGAGCTAAACTGCAGGATACTGGCCCTTTTGAGCAGGATTGGACATCCCTGCAGTAGCAGTTAAAGAAAAAAAATAGATTCAGCTTTGCACTTAAAAAAAAAAAGATAGAAACCTTTATACGTTTTGTTGTATATGTGAAGACCTAGAAATGTACAGGTGCATCTCAATAAATTAGAATGTCGTGGAAAAGTTCATTTATTTCAGTAATTCAACTCAAATTGTGAAACTCGTGTATTAAATAAATTAAATGCACACAGACTGAAGTAGTTTAAGTCTTTGGTTATTTTAATTGTGATGATTTTGGCTCACCCACCAATTCATTATCTCAACAAATTATAATACTTCATAAGACCAATAAAAAAATTTTTTAGTGAATTGTTAGCCTTCTGGAAAGTATGTTCATTTACTGTACAAGTACTCAATACTTGGTAGGGGCTCCTTTTGCTTTAATTACTGCCTCAATTCGGCGTGGCATGGAGGTGGTCAGTTTGTGGCACTGCTGAGGTGGTATGGAAGCCCAGGTTTCTTTGACAG